CATTAAGCTGCGCGATCAACTAAATGCAGTGCACTTTACAATCACCCACCGAATTTTCTTTTAGGGTGGTCATTTGGGAAGAGCAACACTTTCCCTCAGAGGATTTGGCAAGGAATTCGTCTTTGATGTCGTGCAAAACCGGTATGCCTCATTACTTAAAATGCCTGCCACAGACTTCTACATTTATCATTTTTTTGCAAAGCTTATAAAATTCCATGATTTTTCCCACAGATTGGCTAATCACATTTTTATTCTTTATTCCTGTTCCACAGCATTTTGTTCTCTGCCAATTATGTGTCAAGATTTTTTAATACTACCGGTTGGGAAATCATTGCCAAAAATGAGGTTTGTTCATCCTTGTTACCGAATAAATTTAATTGGGATTATTTTCATAGCCGACTTCGGTTCATTTAAAGCGATTTGAGGCTTTCTTATAGATAGCCCAGTATTTGCTGAGGTTAAAAGCCGTAATCTTCTTCGCATGGTTGCATGTCAAACATAGGTGTTTATAAGAATTCCTTCTGAGTGTGTTTGCTTAGCAATTCTCATACTCTTCAAACAGGGAGGGGTATTCCATTAGCTTGGATAATTCGCTTTGTTGAAAAAGGGGAAGCAAATTCTGTCGAAAGCTAATTTAATATGATGATACTAGTGTTTTGTTGTCGCAGTTGATATTTGAAAGTGTAAAATAAGCGATTTCCGATACCTTGATACAACCAGCCGTTGAAAGCGATGAAATGACATGAAATGAGAGAATGCGTTAGACTTTAAACAGCTTCTTCGCGAGTCGACGAGAGTCTTGAATTTACCTGTTGTCTTCCTGAAGATGATGAGATGTAATTCACTGATAAATCAATAGTGTTTCACAATTACAATTTATCTTTATTTCCATTCCGATCGCACACTGTCCAGTTGAGGGAATCACCCTTGCTGTGCTGACAGAAAAAGGCGTAGATTACTTTCTTCCTGACCCTTCATAGAATTCAATTGTAACATATCGGGTTATACGTATGAGTAAATGGAAAGGTTAATTAACATATTGACCAAGGTCCGCAGGTGAGAGACAAAACATGACATTAAGCTTGCATTAGATTTTCGTTCAGCTCTCGGTTTGTGGTAAAGCACGAGATCTTAATCTTCGGTTCACCATCCGGAAAAGTCAGATCATACACTCAATAATTTTCCTTATACTGAATCAAGGAGTGTTGTTTCTGATGAATTATAATTGATGTTCCCTGCATTATATTAATATTAACAGTATTGAATGGCGCCAGACACGGTTGGAATTAGTAGCAAACATGAAATTTTGTCGCTTAGCTTGATTCATTTGTTAGCGGTGTATTTTGTATAATTTATTTGATCTCAATTAAGGTGAAGGTCAGCTAAACAAATTCTATGATTTTACTGACCATAAGTATTAATTTTTATGTATAAAATGGAATTGGATGCAAGGCATAAAATATAACCGAGATAGAAGAAAGAGAAAAAAAGCTGGTTTTGAAAATTTGTAAAAGAAAAGAAGCATTTTTACCACAACTATATATATTGTTTGGATGGAACCGCCAGATCATTGGAATTCGGATTTGGGTACTTCTAAAAGGTAAAAAAAATATTAACTGTTTCCATTTAAAGTGGTCTGACTAGTGGCTTAATGAGGGTAATCAAGGATGTTGTGTACTAGGACTTCCTTTTCAGTTTTCACTTTGCATTGAATCGAACATGGAACCTGCATGCAATATCAATGTAGCAAAGAACGGGATCCATTAACTATAATTTCTATCTTACTTTTGTAGAGAAATGAGAATTGTTTTTATCAAGGAAACATTGAAGGCTTGAAGCACTCGACTGTTGCTATTAGCACTTGTCAAGGAATTGAGTAAGTGAATGGCAACTGTGAATGAAAAGAAATTCAGAGAGACAAAGTCAAATAATTTTTATAGTCACATTATTTTAAATGGTTAGAAATCTTGAATGTTCTCGTCTGGTTGGATTTTGTTTTGTTTTGTTGTGATTTGATGTGCAGTGATGTAGTAATGCAATGACTTTTTACTTTTTTTTGCACTCATTTTAATGCTTAACTAATTGATTAACAGTCTTTTTTCTTGCCATGCAACTTTGTTGGTTTAAATTAAGATTTATAATGAAGATTTACATGTCTGTAAATAACTTCATTGGAAAAATGAGCTCCTTACTCAAACAATAAGCTCCCCTAAAAGAAGCCCATAAGAAACTCATCTTGTGAAACATATTAAATATCTTTTGCAGGGGTATGATTTATGACGGAAATGAGACATATTATATTCAACCATTCCCTGAAAATCCAGATAGAGTAAGTTCCAGTTCCTTATGAGTGGTTCCTTCATTAATGTCGTTCTTTTGAGATGACTTTTTCATTTCCCTGACACTTTACATCATGATTGATTATTTTGCTGGATGACATGTTACTGTTTGGCCTGTTTAGTAATATAGGTTTGGATTTCAAAACCTTTTTATACATGTAAGGCTAACTTGCTGGTAATTAGCATTGATAGTATAGTTGCTTGATGCACTGGTATTGGATAAAGATATTTTCGTTTTGTCAGTCTGTTTGCTTGCTTGTTTGTTTTTTTGCACAGGTAATATTTATTAGGTACTTTCTGTATAAATTGTAGGAAATTAAGCTCAGTTACATTATTTATATGCCTCTCAGTGAAACTTGCAATTTATCTTCACACAGCATATCATGTACCGTGCTTCAGACCTAAAAACTGGCAAAAAACATTGTGGTAAGTTTACACTATGCTAATTAGAATGATTTGTTCAGGATTTGAGACCGAGTTTATCTTAAAAGTCACAATAGAATTTATAAAATAACTGCTGTGTAAATGACATGTTAAAGAGGTTTATTTAGTAAGAAATAATAAAAATGATTTTCTGTAGGTGTGAAGCATTCTGATTTTACACATGCTATGGAGGATTTTGTTTCTTTAGGAAAACATCGGGTGAGAATTCTTCATTGAGAATTTACCTTCATGAGAATTTACCTTC